CAAGATCAAAAGAGAACAAAATTCTAACTGGCTTCGAGGATAGGCATTGGCTGCTTTCATAATTGGTCTCAAATATTCTTGATTACGAATAAGGTAAATTGATTTGCTGAAGGATGGATTAAATTAAAAGAAAAAACAATGACAAGAAAGGTTAAATTTGAAAGTTCAGGAATTAAATAAACGATAATGAATTGACCTCTTCACATATATAATTTTTCCTTCACATCATTTTCTGGTCTTTAATATGCAAGTCGCTATTGATGAATGTGATAGAAAAACTCGGGTCCAAACCTGCTGCTTTTCTTGGACCTAGCTACCTTTTTTTTCTTTCGCTGTTCTTTCAATGACTCAAATTAAATAGGTAATAAAGATGTGGCCCTTAACTATAAGTCTAATGACAAAGTTTCAACCAAAAATTATGTGGTTGGTTCACCAAACACTGCTGGCATGCAAATGAAAACTCTTTTCATATTTTTAATCAAGGCAAGGTACGTACATGTATAGGCAAAAACCTACATTGCATCAACGATAAAAAGTGGCATCCAATGACCATTTTGGACTGTAGAAATAAAAATGAATATAATTATTGCTGAGAGGGCCAGGAATGAGGATGCGTCTTCTTCCTTTCTTCCCTTTTGCCATGGGATTGAAGCTCTCGAACAAAATTGCATGATGATCTAGCATTATTACAAATTAATGGCATGGGTGTTTTCAAACATAGGACAGGCAGCAAAAACAAGACGTTGGAGAAAAATTAGCTGTCACTCCATAAGGTCAATGTTTACATAATTAACAGAAAGAAACATGTGCATGTTGGTATACTCTTACCAAGAAAATAATCAGACTAGGCAATTTTGTTTGATATATAGAAAAAGAAGATTGAGAGATTCTCTTTTGTCTTACTAAACCCTTTTTCTTAAGAGGATAAAAATAAGCCCATGCCGTGCATGCAAATGCAGTAATTAAAGTCGCTTTTTCCTCCCTCGAATTCCCAATTATCTTGGACCCACTTAACTGGTTACGATGAGCCTGTCCAAAGCTGTGTTTGGTAATACCTTTTTTGCAAGTCATTTTAAGCATACTTGGATGCTTTGATTTTTTTTAACTGTTTTTAAATGATTTTATAAATACTCATATTAAAAAAATAATAATAAATTAAAACTGATTTTTTTTCAGTTTAAAGATATTTTTAAGAAAACATTTAGACTGTGTTATCAAACAAATAGGAAATAGTCAAAAAGAAAAAAAAACATTAAAATTTCTGTTATAATACTCTAATTAACCATTAACTATATATCTCTGTTATAATATATATAAACAACATCAATAAAAGATACCATCTTTATTTTTTTTGTTTTTCTTTTGTCACATAAGAAATGGACTTTTCATATCTACAATTGATTAACTAATTTTGAGTAGTTCAACTTTCAATTTCTGGACCTTTAATAGTCAATTTTACACTATTTATGTATGGAAAAAATAAACAACATGTCCAATTATGATAAATAAGTTCGTGTACCGTATCAATATAAAAATTAACGTGTAATTATTTGAAATAATTACACTATAAGTACACCATTTTTTAATTTTTTTCTCAATCGAATATGTGAATTTTAATTTTTTTTTGTTTGAGTATATTATTTTTTTTAAAAAAAACATATCAATTAAATATTCCTATCAATTTTTTCGTTAATCGATAACATGTTTGTTATCTTTAAAATACTAAATTACAATTTTATTCTTTTTTAATCCATTATATGAATTTTAATTTTTTTCGTTTGAATGCACTAACCTTTTTCAAAACTCGTCAATAAAGTACTTTCATCAATTTTTTATTAATTAATGACGTATTCAAGTACAAAATTATAATTTTACTATCTTTTTGTTGAAGAAAAATTTTTCCTCAAATTATTTTATCATTTTGAAATTGGAAAAATAATTGAAAAAATTTTATTTTTTATCTATAAAATTTTAAATTAAACTTAATTAAGTTGCTATTAAAAAAAATCCAATTAGATTTAAGAGTGAAAATTGAAGGAGAATACAAATGAATCTTCTCGATGAAAAATCTCATATTTTTGTTTTTTTCAACTTTCATATAAAAAACCTAACTGATTTTGTTTATTAGCAGCAAATCTAACAAAGTTTGGTTTGAGATTTTATAATTAAAAATATATTTTTTGATTTTTTGTTAAATTTTACAAAAATAGAATAATTTAAGGAGAAAGTTCATTACAACAACGAGAAAAAATATAATTTGATATTAGGATACATCATCAATTAATGAAAAAATTGATGAAAATACTTGATTGGTAATTTTATAAAAATTAATATACTCAATCTGAAAAAATTAAAATTTATGTACCACATTTAGAAAAAAAGGCAAATTTATAATTTAGTATTTAATTGATAATTTTAAAAAAACTTGTATACTCAAACAAAAAAAATTAAAATTTATATATTTGATTAAAAAATTAAAAATCATGCTTATAATGTAATTATTCCATAATTATTTGTAATTGACCAACCGTAGATATAGCAGAGATCAAAAGGGTGTTAAACTAATGCAAGTATCCGACGTTCTAAAAGGGTAGGAAGATGACGTCCTACTCGAATGCTTTTTATTTTTTAACAGAAAAAAAAACAAAAAGAAAAAAAAGCTACGCTGCTAAGGTTGACTGCCCAAAGCTGACCTCCATAACCACGAGGGACTTATGTTTTCCCATTTATTTTAATTATATCTCTACATCAATCAAAATTAACTTTTCATTTCTTAAACACACCGTTTGGTTTTGGATAGATTCTAAAGGAGGGACTCATGTCATGTTGAAAATAGTGTACAAGAAAGAAATCACGGGTGGGGACTCAAGCATCCTGCGGTTCTATCGTCTTGTACAAATCATTAGGTTTGCATCCATTAAATGCCTTCTCATGTGACGTACCCGTGGCACTGCAGGAATGGAATTTTAACTTCTTGTATATTTCAATTTTGGGCACAAATGGTATTTTAATGTCGGCCAAAAAGATTATTTAAGAAATATTGTCAGAAAATATTTTTTTTCCTTATAAATACACGGTCTTTCTATCTAAAATTTAATTAATTTTTTATTGTTTCATCTGGAAGTTTAATGAACCATAAATATAAATCTTATTTCATTAAAAAAAATATATAAAAAATACACCATCTCTAAATCAAATCTGTTGGTACATATTTGATTTCAATATATAAAATAATTAGTTGATAAAAATCAAAATAAATTATAGACTCGATGTTTGTAAATTATGTAATCTTTGAATAATAAAATTGTGATATGATTGACGGGCTAAATTTATTTTCAAAAAACAGACCGTACTCTTGCCTTTATTGGAAGGAGGTGGGTTTTTGGTTTTTTTTTTAGGAATTAAATGCTTTCTTTTGCGATAATCAAGCGTCCACCATTTACTAAAATCAAACTTTAATGTTTTATCAAGGGAACTGACCTTTTTCTACCCAATCACCGAAGTCCAAATGGAAACTAATTAAAGTTATTGTAAATAAAGGTAAATAAAGTTTTGTTTAGTAACAAAATAAAAGAGAACAGAAAATAGTTGGATGTAAATAAACGAAAAGAAGGAGAATTATATTCTTTCTGGGTCTCTTGTATTTCATTTTCTTTCCCAAACAGCAGAAAATCCCATGGTTGATTCCAGTCTTATTTTCTTTCCTAGTTTCCTTCACTTTCTTGCATCTCTAAGAAGAAATGTCCCCTTGCAAGCCTTTTTGGCAAGGGTCCACCATCCCAGTATCCTAGTTTCACTCGGCTCCCAATAAATGAATAAATAAATAGATTAGAAAATAAATAAATAAATAAAATCCAAATTTATTAAAAGAATTGAAGGAAAATCCTACAAAATCCTTTCTTTCCCATCACTACAGTCTTGTTTTCACACCCTTCCATTTCCCCTTCTCTCCTCTCCGAAGCCTTCCTTTCTCTGGCCACTCTTGTCAGAGACTTTTCAGGTCACGTTGCCATCTACAGGAGAAGAAAAAGAAGTACTTCCTTATTTGGAAGAACCATTTATTTCCTGATTTTTTTTTTTACTTTGAGAGTTTCTTTATTCAGATCTTTGGTTTACACTTTCTAAAAAAAAAAAAAAAGATTACAAACCCTCTTCATTTTTCAGTCAGTTGGTCCCAATATGTGGTTGATGTCTTCTAAATTTATCAGCTGTTGATTTTCAAAACTGGGTTCTTTTCCATACCATTACCTAGACCCTACTCTTGTTTTTTCAAGCCCTGAAAGTGATTGCATGCCGAGTTGTTGTAACCCATTGGCCTAATTTTGGGTCCCATTTGTGTACCTTAAAAAGGTTCAATATATTCAACTCCCATTTTTCTGTTCTCCTATGCCATCAAAATTTTAATTTTTGATTACGCCTATGCTGCTATACTCACCAATCTTGTCTTGCTAGTCAACTATTAGATGCTCCATTGGTTGTTTTTTATTTGTGTTCTGGCCTAAAAGGGAACAGTTGATATTTCTGCTGTGGTCAAGTTGTACACTAAGCCGGCTTCTTGAATTTTAGTCTCCTTTCCTGCCCTTTTAAGGTATCGAAGTTCCTACTTTTAGACCTTTCTTGAATCTGTAGTTGCTTCATTGTCATCGTTTTCTGCTTGATTATATCATACAGTCCTTCAAATTCCTAGATTTGGTCCTCTTTTTGCCTAATAACCATTGAAATGTGATTCACTAGCTTTGATTTTGTGTCAATGATTCTTATAGTCTCGAAGGGGTCATTATCTTGAATCTTTCCTGTTTCGTAAGCTGCATTATGCTTAATTTGAAAATTTTGGTAGCTGCCTACTTTTTAAAATATGCTGTGCCTTCAATGTGTAAGATGAGGTTCACGGGGTTTAATCTCTCCTGATTGTTAAGAGAAGGGAAAAGAAAGTGTATGCTTGTTGTTTGTTGCATATCTAGTTATTGTTTTTGCTTCTTGTTTTCTTGCATATTTCAAGTATGCTTGAGCAGGGCAAATTCTTGTTCAAGTCACCTTTCCTTCTCTGTGTCTTTTTTTCCTCGTTTGTCTTTCATGTTGTCGTTTCACATATTCCCTTGGGGTCAAAGCTTTCCGTAGAGGAAAATAACTTGTGGGTTTCCCCCAGTGGTGATTTTGCTATTGGATTCGTTAATCATTCTGATCAGCCCAATCAGTACAGTGTAGGGATACGTTTCAATTCGAAATCTATTCCTGTTCCCAAACAAACTGTGGTTTGGGTTGCTGGAGCTAATGTTGCTGTAGGTAACATGTCCTATTTCCAGCTTTCTCAAAATGGGGAGCTGGTGTTGGTTGATTCTTTGAAGGGAGTCACTTTATGGACCAGCAACACACGCCAATTAGCTGTTGTTTTGGCTCTTCTTCGTGATGATGGCAACCTTGTTCTATTGAATAGAAAGAAGGAGGTTGTTTGGCAGAGCTTTGATAATCCATCTGACACACTTCTTCCAGGCCAGAATTTACCTGTTCATAAGACACTTAGAGCTGCAAGCACAAGTTCTGTTTCAAGTTATTATAGTCTTTACATGAATGCTTCAGGTCAGTTACAGCTAAAGTGGGAGAGTGATGTCATTTACTGGTCTGGAGGAAATCCATTTAGTTCGAATCTCAGAGCCGTCCTTACCTCCAGTGGAGTCTTGCAACTTGTGGACCACAATCGGAAGCCTGTTTGGTCTGTTTTGGGGGAAGACCACAATGACAACGTAAATTTTCGGTTCCTTAAATTAGACATTGATGGTAATCTGCGTATATACTCCTGGGTAGAAGCTACAGGTTCCTGGAGATCAGTTTGGCAAGCTGTTGAAAATCAGTGCAATGTTTTTGCAACCTGTGGCGAGCATGGCATCTGTGTTTTCAATGCATCGGGATTTCCTGAATGTCGATGCCCTATCAAGACAACTTCCTCTCCCAACTTGAAATGTTTTACACTGAATTGCGGATCTGATTACAGTATGGATACTTATGAGCACACTTTTCTGTATGGGATTTATCCACCAAATGAATCAATCACCATTACTAGTTTACAGCAATGTAAAGAATTGTGCATGCAGGACCCGGCTTGTGCAGCAGCAACCTTCACAAACGATGGAACTGCTCAGTGCCGAATGAAGATGAGTCCATACTTCTCTGGGCATCAAAACCCCTCTTTAAGTTCGATATCTTTTGTTAAGAAATGCTCAGACCCCATAGCTGTTAATCCCCATCTCTATAGATCTTCTCCATCACTATCTCCAGTCAAACGGTCTCGTGGGTTGTGCATTTCTTGTCTAATTGGAGCAGCCTCAGGCACATTTGTTTTGTTTGCTATTGTTCAGTTAGGAATTGGCTACTTCATCTATAGAAGAAGAAATCAGATTTTGAGGAAAGCTGCTTTAGCTTACACAGGCCGTAACTCTAAGGGTTTGATGATGTTACGTTTTACAGAAATCAAGGACATTACTGGGAATTTCAAGCACCAGATAGGGCCAGGTATGTATAGTGGAGTGCTGCCAAACCACCAGCCAGTAGCAGTCAAAGACCTTGAAGAAACCATTGAAGAAAGGAAGTTTCGAGCTGCTGTTGCAAAGATAGGAAGTATACATCACAAAAACCTGGTGAAGCTGGATGGCTATTGCTGTGAGTTAGGTCATAGATATTTGGTCTACGAATACGTCAAAAATGGTTCCGTGGATAAATATATAGAAGATGATGAGTTGAGTCGGAGACTGACTTGGAGAAGGAGAGTTGACATATGCTTAACTGTGGCTAGGGCTATTTGTTATTTGCATACAGGGTGTAGGGAGTTTATAAGCCATGGAAATTTGAAATGTTCAAACGTAGTCCTGGATAAAAATTATGAGCCCAAGGTGAGTGAATTCGGGTTGGGAACAGTTCATCCTGAGGCATCATATGGTGGAGAGAAAGATGTGGAGGATTTTGGCAAGATGGTGCTGATATTGATAACTGGGCGTCTAGAAGTCAAGGATGCCTGGGAGTGGACCTATGAGGAATGGATGCAGGGGAACCCAGAGGAGGTGGTTGATAAAAGACTTGAAGATGGGGTGGATTTAGAGGAGCTAGAGCGAGTGTTACGAATTGCATTTTGGTGCCTTCAAACAAATGAACATATGAGACCTTCGATGGGTGAGACGGTGAAGGTATTGGAAGGCACATTAACAGTTGATCCCCCACCACCTCCTTTCGGCCAAAGGTTATCGGAAGAAGAGTCCCTGGAGTCAGGCTCTAAACCTCAAAGTCCAATGGAGCCATGAAGATTAGTTAATTTATTAGTTTTCCCACTATAATTTGTATAGTAGAACTAACACTGCATAGTGGTACCATTTTGCACTTACTCTGATATCTCATGCCATTTTCCCCCTAACTGCATGAGTGCGTGGACTACTGTAAGAAGAAAGTTCCATTGAGATCTAGTTGAGATTAAAATGCAACTTCACATGCATTTTGGGATTCCATATTTTGCAATGTAAATGCTGATTCTGATGTCCTTCATGTATTGGTTGGCTCATGCCTTTTTTTTTTCCCTCATCATTTTTATCTCTGATATGGAATGCCAGAACAATCAAACCACCTGGGTAGTAAACCTTTGAAACCTATGACTTGCGTGGAACTGATCCCCTCAAGGTAATTGGCCTGAAACTTGTAAACAAGTGCCGGACTCGTTTTTGAGGTTATGTGGAAGGCCTTGAAGCTTGCATTGTCAGCCCATGCAACTTATATTTTATTGCTGGCCCAATTTAGGTTTTTTCTGATATCAGAACTATGTCATACGAATGAGTGGGCCTTCTGACCAACATTCAAGTAGACCTTTGCCAAAAGCCTGAAATTCTGGGATGCTTTGAAACAGCCTAATTATTCAGTAGTCTTTTGGAGTAGATTATTATTCCTTATTTATCGATCTGCTTTCCTTTTTGTCTTCCAGGCCCTACCTTCTTATCTCTGTGATAGGGAGCCAAGAAAAAAGATGTATTTTATTTGCATTATTAAGAGTTTGAGAAATGTTGATGTGGGATTAAAGGGCTACCTCCATTTTGCATTTTTTTTTTTTTGGAAAAAATAAACAGACATTAAATGGAGCAAGTTCATGCATTTTGATTGTAAAGTATTAATTAGAAGCAGCACAGAGAAATTTATAGAAATCCATCAATCATTGTGGGATAAATTTTGTCATCCATTATATGTAGGATTCATTAAGATGGGCAACCAATTCACCACACACACGTGCACGATTACGCGTTGCATTTCCTCTACAATGCATAAATAAATTGATTTGATGCTTTATCTAGTAAAAGGCTTGCACACTTTAACCCATGCTGAATTAGGCATAAAGGGCATAACAATAATCTCAAGCACCTCCCATTGTCCCACATCAAACAATAAATACTATTCGATTCTTTACTAGCCTTATCTCCAGTATTAAAAGTGGGAAGCCTTTATACTTTAGAAAAATAAATCTGATTACCGATCCGACTTCTCTTTGACTTCTTGGCATCCATTTAAGCGTATACAAGCTGGAATCATCCAAGAAAAATGGATAGGAAATAGCAAAATTATTTCTTTAAGTTGTGCCGAGTTATTTCCTACTCCAAAAAAGTGTCCAATCCTATCAGGGTTTGGTAGAGGTTTGAATAAATTGCTTCTTCGAGTGGTACGTAGTAGTTAGCATTTGCTGCTGTAGTGCTATTTTGGATTTACTTGATCTAGGTCAGAAACTTTAGAAGCTTACAAATGGTTATTAAATAGGTGTTTTGGAATGTTTCTGTTGCTATCTTGCAATTCATGAATGCCTTTCAGGTGAGAACTACTGTTAGCTAGCTACTGTCTCTTTCTTAAACTTCCTCATCCGTGGCATGCACAAAGCCAAAAAGAAGTCTATCCATCTATTTTAGCCCTTCTTATTAGAGCTCATTTAGCACAAGATTATTGATCAAGTTCCCAAATGGCACCATCAAGACAGTACAAGAGGCAACAACTTGTGCCAAAATGTGAAGAAACATCAAGAGATCTGCCTTGTATTTGCAGTACTACTTCTACCAGCTCCAAAGAATCGTGCAGTATAAAAAATGACCAAGAAGGTGAGATGGGTATTGGCTGTTCTACACCAAAGGCTCAAAGATTCAAAATACCTGAGATCTTATCTTGTCCACCTGCTCCAATGAAGAAAAGGGTGACTAAAAATTGCTCATCAAAGAAATCTCCCATAGCCTTTTTTGCTTCTCCAGATATAGAGCTTTTCTTCTTCTTTGCATTTCATAATATCCGAGCTTAATTGATTAATGTACTTATATTGGGTCTTCAAAGGATGACTTCTACGCATTTGATTTTATTTTGCAACTTAATGATCGCTATTTAAGTATTCAATTAGCCAGGTTTGAAGTTTGAGCAATCAACCTTGATTGCAGTCTGTACTAGATAATTTCAGTAGGGTTTTGTATTTTATGAATGTTTGCTTATAAATGCTTAATAATCTTCAAATTCATTCTCTCTGTTTTTTTTTTTTTTTTTTTGCTAGTACACACTACTAAGCACTGCTTGTTAATTTGTTAAAACTATTGCATTAGTTTTTATTCTTGTTAATTACGTATAAGATGTGAAACATAGATCACTGTGGATTGAAAAAGACATAGCTAGCTCCATTAGAAGCCTTTACGAAAAAGAAAAGCTGTTTTCTCTTCTTTCTTGCGAATATTACTTTAAATTGCCCAACCAGAGAAAGGAAAGAAGAAAAGCTTCTTTTTAGTGCGACCTTGATGATTGAATATTCTTCTTCTTTTTTGAACTTTCTCTTAAACTTTTTGCCAACGAAAGTGACTTGTATAATGTTATAAGTGATCCTGGGATGCATATCTAGATATAATATTATTCATACTGTTTAATTCTCTGACTCCTCATTCGCGTGTTGGCATGTAAACATGCAATTTTCTGTAATTTATTAGTAAAACTACCAGTTTCCTACTATCTGTTTTATTGGGGTGCTAAGCTGCTACTTCACCAGAATTTGATTGTCAGAATATGGCTCTTTCTCTCTCTCTCTCACACCCACACAAACACGCACAAAACAAGGTGGCTATAAATAAATTAATTCGAAATGCAATTTTAAGGCCATAAATCCATGATATAGTTCGAAAGATATATTCTCCATTCTCTTTGCAGAATATAAAACCTACTAAGTAATTAAGTTGGAATTTTCTTTCTTCTTCTACTTTATCTCGTTTGAATTTTCACACCCACACACTATCACTATATATTTATAAAAGATAAGAGAAAAGATCCAAATTCTTTTTGCTTATGCCTTTTTTTTTGCTACATTTTTTAAGATTTTTATCTGTTTTTTGCATCTAAATATAAAACCAAGTTCACTTTATCAGTCCGGTCGATAAAGTGGATTCACGTAAAAATTCATAGAGAAAAAAGTTCGAATTTTGGTTATGAATGTGCAAGATTTGAGTACCACTAGTCAATCATTGATAGTAAGTTAACCTAAGTCTTACTTGACACAGTGGGCTAGTAATAGGTTGAGAATCTAATGTGCATTTAAGGCTCTCCCACCACTAACAAGTGTGGATCACAGAAGAGACTAGAGAGCGTGTTTTCGGTTTGGGGTGGGTTGGATTATGGTTTCAGGTGGAAGTGGAGCCGAAAAAAAACCCTCCAAAACATAGAGTAGTGCAAAGATTCGAGAGAATCCAATGAGGAAGTTCGTGCGGGTTACTGTGTCATTTCATGGGCAGGACACACACGTGAAGGGAATCTCCACTTTTTCTCGTGAATTTGTTTTCCCAAGAAAATTGAATTACCACGGCTTGCCGCTGGTAATTATTTTCACATGGGTCAGATCTTGGGCCAAAATATCGGGTTTGTATAGTTGAGATCTGGGCTCAAAATTACCGAAGAAGGCCTATCATAAAAGACCAGCAGATTTGGGCCCATTGTAAGCTGACAAAAGATTCATTCTTGATATTCATGCTTATATCGAAGAAATATAAAATAAGCCCAAAGTGGTCATAGACCATTTACTCTACAATCCTCTCATCGGACCTCTCCCCGGCAAAGGCCCATCAAGAAAAACGATTTCTTTTCGGCGTGTCTTGATTTGTCTCTTGTGACCTGGCAATAGGATATTAGGATCATAGAGGACTTAGATAGAGGAAGAATCATGAATCCAGACTCTTCTTTTCTTTTTCCGACGGTAATAGTATCCCCAAATCAGTCTGTACGTTACTGGAAGTTGATTTTTTTAGATGATTTTAAAGCTGTATTTTCCATATCAATTTGGTACATTTTAAAAAAATTAATAAATTCTCTTATATATTAATTTTAAATTTATAAGATTAAGAAAAAGGGTAAATCTCCTTAACTAATATGTCAATCTTTTGACATATCCTTTTTCTTCTTTTACATCCAAAAATATCAGCAGTCTAAACATAGATTAATGATTGACGAGTGAGTCATTATTGTTTTGTTTAAAAAAAAAAAGATAAAATATACTAATTAAGGAGAATTAAATGTAACAATGAATTGAAAGTTGACCCACATGAACATCTAGAATGTTGACACGTACGCTTGCTATTATATACAACTCTTTTACTTGCCGTTCATTTTTACACTTATCAAATTTTATCTTTCGTATCTATCCATTTGGGACCCTACGCATAAAAATATGCGTATACACTTGGCGTACACAAGATCTAAGAAGTTTAATTATAATATTTAATCACATCACATACATGTGGATCTCTTTTGAACCGTACATCTGAAATCTATTTGTGTTTTGTATCTTTGGACTTCACGCCTATGACATGACATTGTAGTGTCTAAACCTAAACTTCAATAAATAAATAAATAAGGTCGGAGTGATGGCTTTTGCTTGTCAATCTGATCTAATTGCCGACCATATATGTGCATGGCCAACGGGTTAAGGTTTTTCCGTAAGTACCACTACGAGCCCATGATTTAGTACTCGAGGAAACAATTCTTATGTTCCCCAGTCTCCGATGAGCTGTCCACTCTTACCTTCCCAAAGCTTCCACTCCCTACCACGTGGCTCCTCTCTAATGGGTTTATAAACGGCTTATAATTGACCCCCATGTCTCAGGAGTACACGTGGACGTTGACGGTCGCCGTCATAGAGATCCGTGCTTGTCGTGTAACGGGGCCATCATTCACTCACCTCCCTGGCTACCCAACGCCACGACAACGTAACGGGGCAGTGCAGTTAAGTGGGACGTTAATTATCGCCATCATAAAATGGAAAAGACTGTGTGCGTGGACTTGGTGGACCACGTGGTGTTTGATCTGGTGCTTTATTGGGGCCCACTAATCAATTTTTCGCTTTGTCTTTTTCCTTCGTGGGGTCCAGGGTTGGACACGTTGCGGATTTAGGTCGACTGAGTGACGACATGCAAACTTAAAGCTGACGGTTAGGAGATGAGATTGGGATGATAACTCTGCGTCATTTGTTGGTTTCCTTTTTGGACGAATATGCCCCAGGCTTTATTTTTAATGCCAACAGAGTATACACCAATATTATGCACGTTTTGCACAAAAATCCACATCAAAATTTAAAAGCTGGCTGAGATTTTTTTTTGCTTGAGCTTTTCTCTTTACACATGGAAAAAGGAATTGACGTTGTAGCATTTTTCTTAGTATGCTTTGGGAGGGTAAAATGTTTCACATATCTTATTACTATCTAACCATATATTGCTTTGTGTATATATATATTTTTTAAAATATATATATTATACCTATAATTAGGTTAATCTTCTAATTTAGTCACAACAATTAAAAATTTTAAAATTTATAAAAACTTACTTTCTTTCTATTAGAATAAAATCTTTCCGGTTAAATACAATAAATTTAATAGTTAATAACAACAAAGAAAGTCATGCAAACAATTAAAACCAATAACAACAAACATGTTAGCAAAAATAACTCTAAACAACCAAAGAGCTTATAAGCCGAGTGGTAACAATCTCTTACAAGAGGTCATAAGTTCAAATCTTAACGAGAAAGTTCCGTCATAAACCTTAGGTGCGTATATTGGGAGAGAGAGTTAAAAAAAGTATCTTTAAAAGATAAATTGTTTTATAAATAGAATTTGAGTGAAATTGTAATACTTAGCCTTAAGTGTTATAATCTAGATAGACTTTTGATATATGTTTCTATATCTCACATTATAAGTATATAAATAGTCAACATAATAAAAATTATGTAAGCAAGATGACTTAAAACAGAATTCTCATATTGTTTAATTTGGTATCGAGTCTTTTTTGTAAAATTACATCAAAGGCCTCAAACATCCGCATTTCTTCGTTTCAAATAAAAATCATATCTCACTAGATATTACCTCCTTTCAATCAATCATACAGCCTACCTAATGCTTATCACTTCATCTCACTCAAACTAATCATAACAAATTATCTCCTTTGTCTCACCCAAATGAGACCTTGTTTAATAGGGCAAGGCTTGTTCGAGTTTATTGATGATAGAAACCAATGCCCACCTCCTCACATTCTTTTTACCGATATAGATTTTTTTTAATCAAACCCATAGCTTCATTATTAGGTTTAACAAGATTAATTGTTAATATGTACAATTATTACTTCTCTTTCAATCGAAGTTTTACCATTCGTAATTGTCCGTAATACTTCACAAGAGGTTTGGACAAAGTTAGAATATGCTCTTGTTTTTGCCTTTAGCATAATAATTATGACCTTGCATTTAGCTCTTCAACGTCTTCAACAAAACACCATTGAAAGTGTAACTCAATCCTACAATGATGAAATTACTGTCGTCGGAAAATCATTGTCCACTTATTGATTTTAATCTCTACATCTTTAGAAGATTGTGTGCAAACCACAAAGACTTAATCATCACTTTAAATGTCGGGTTTGGATCGATAAGTTTTATCGAATTTCATAGTCTGTCTGCTTCGGTTATTAGTTTTTGAATAGGAACTCTATTTAAGCCCCTCCCACTGCCATTCTAACTCTACAACCCACGACTCATCTTGGTCGGAAAATAGGAAGTTGTATTGGTTCCGATCGCATCACCACTTTTGGGTCCATTTTCTAGTTGTGGCAAAGACAAAACTTATTGAGGATGTTGGTGTGGTATGATTTTTTTTTGTCAAAAATTTAACAATAAAGGATGATAAAACTAGAATCAACAAGGCATAAATTTTAGGTTACATTACCAATTAGATTTAATCACATTAAATGTCTCTCTACTATTGACATTTTTTTGATGTGACCCATGTACTTTTTTTTATTCAATCCTTCCTTATACTCTTCAATTTTTTCTAATATGGCCCTTATAATCGCTTTTCGACCAATTTTTTTATTAAAATTGACACCTTGCATTAAAAATTCCATGTGACGTGACACATCGGACTATTTTGCCATGTGGAAAAAAAGAAAAAAATAAAAAGGACGGATCTCTTCTTCTTCTTCTCTCTCTAAGACTCATCGTCGAAAAAATGTACCAAAATCAAAATGGAGAAAACAAAGCACTAGCCTTGGATAAACATCCGCATCTTGCTTAGAAAGTTTTGAAATCTCTAAATAATTAAGCTCTTCATTTTATCCTAAAGGAAGATAAGGCCATCAATAGCATCTACAATGGCTTTTCATGTAATGTCCCCGAATTAGGATCTAGATAGGTCAAAGGTATTACCGACATTGACCTACATACGAGGTGCAATAAATGCAAGCCAAAAAAGCCTCATCTCTTCAAACATTTCTAGTTCATCAACGAAGAGGGCATTTACTACATTAGGTCCCTACGGAGTATGAGGTACTAGGTCCACTTAAACATAATTTGGATATAAATTTTTTTCTTTTTTTCCTTTATGTTCGATTAAGCCTACATTAGTTTATTTTAAGCCTTTTTTAATTTCATTTAAACTTCCTCAAATAACTTAGCTATCACATTTTCATTTATACCAAATCAACCTTTGTTTAATTAACTTACATATATACCAAAAATTGCTTAACTTTCTATATATCAAAAATTAAGTTAAGTTATACAACATTTCCATATTCACTATCCCAAGCCCAAAGCATACAAAATGGGCAAGTCCATCACTTTTTTTAGTAGTGACCTATCATTTATTTTTATCATTTCCTACACCGTAAGAAAATAATGATGAATAAAAGAATGTTCAATAAGTATAATTCATACAATGCATGTGATGTTTCTCATGCATGAATGCACATGATGTAACTTTCATAAAATCATTTTCATGTATTTGAAAACCATTTTCCTTCACATGTCAAAAGTATACATCGGATCATTCACTTAGCATGTCCTCATTTCCTTTTTACACATTAAGAGTATACACTAGATCATTCCTTTGACATGTTTTGCACACTAAGAGTATACACCAAATCATTCTCTTAGTATGCTCTTCTTCTTTTGCATGCTAAAAGTACACACCGGATTATTCACTTAGCATGCCTTTTTTCCTCAAGAAAGGGTGATCAAGCCTCTCTCTAAACCTCAAAAAGGTATCAAGCTATTTTCTTTGAAAACTTTTCCTTTTCATTTACTTTTCATCAAATCATGAACATAAAATCTTTTTCATGATCGTGATGTACATAAGCATATACATTTGAATGAAATATATTGCAATAAATATGACCATGACATGCATACCATTATGCCTTAAGAACATGTATAGACATTATAAATCATTCATATGTTTCAATATTCAAGTATGCATGCAACATAAAACATTTCATGTACAATCCATAACCATAAACAATATCATAACAAGGTCAAACAAACAAGCTTCATAAACTATAATTTCCTATATAAACATAATCATTTACATTCCTTTAAAATTTTTAAATCTCACATTTGATTATTTCCTAATTGTTCTTGTTTTTCATATTTAGTCGAATTTAAACTAACTGAAAGGCAATTCTTATTTTTTCAACCTAGCTTTTGAAATGTCTCTAAAACATTTCATCAAGGATTTAGTAGGTATCGGACAAAGTAACTACCAATTTATACTTATTTAAAAGATTGTTCATCCATCTTGTTCCTAAAACAATGACAACATTCAAGCACAATACCTTATTCAATCCAAACATCACATTGACATATCTTTAATATGTAAGCATCATTGATTCATTGTAATTTAATCATTAACAAACAATACCCATACCACACTTGTTAACCCTTTCCCGATGTATACTATAACACTAATCACACCTCAAAACATACAATTTTAAGGTATAGGTGAAGATTTATACTTACCTCACTTAGAATCTTGGCCTTTCTCTTTCCTTTTTCTCCTTGGTTCTTTCCTCACTTTTCCTTCCTAAAATTTCGATCAAGTGGAGAATTCTTCTTTTCTCATTCTTGATTAATCCTCTAGGATAGTTTAGAGGAAAATTTAAGGTTTTCTAATTGGATTAAAGTGATTAAGAGTGGTGGTTTTAGGTGGTTAAAGACTTTCTCTTTTTGCCTTAGATTTTCGTTCCTTCTTCCTTTCTTTTCTCTCTCTCCCCATTTTTCTTCCTTTGAAATCTAGAAATCTAGATTTTTCTATCACTATTTTCCCTTAAATTCAACTAAGGGGTCCCTCATATTAGAAACCCTTTATACCTTAGTCCTTCGACTTTCAATCTTTGTAATTCGACCAATTTAAGTTCTCAAGCTTTCTTAATCATTTTAATTAAGGACTTAAACCTTTAATTTTTATAATTATACATTTTGTAATTGCACCTTTATGGCAATGCATAACCATATCAATTAGGGTACCATTGCCTAATTCTACCTTTCCTCATTCCATAAACCCATTCCATTAATTTTACTTATTTTTCTTTTATCCTTAATTGAATTTCAAACTTCACTCACTCATTCTATAAAGGTATCTTTTTATTAATTTACAAAATATCTATACAATACATTTATATTTCTAGGAGGATTTTAAGTCACGAGATATTAAATTACATGCCTAAACTTGGTTTTTGGTCCAAATACTAAAAGTATTTAGATACCTATACTTGGATAAAAATTTGGTGTAAAAGCTTTATCAAACAAAAATATTTTTTACTAATGTCCTTAAACAATCTATTACCTTCTACTTACTATTAAAAATATTAAAAATCAACAGAATAAAATGTGTGGACTTGTGAAGTGTCCTTGGAGGAGTATTGTTTTCAAATTGATCGAAGGAGATAAATCTTTTTAGCATCGTGGAGAGACTACCCTTTGGTAGATATGTTATACTATTATTTTGTTTGGTGTAATGATCTTAGGCTAAAAATTGAAATGGATTCTTAAATTAAAAGTGCCATGAGCGAGATGATTCAAGTCTTAGGGGATGCAATTATAGATACAATGGGACTCCTAACCATATGTCTTCCATTAACCTCTTACTAGCTTAAAAACCTATAATTCCCAAAATGATCACTCTGTAGAGTAACACTAACAGACTTTTAAATCAATCTCCACAATCATATTAAACTCGGTTTTGTTGTTTTTTCCTAAAAATAAAAGTGCTCGTTGGTTGGACAAGAGCTTTTATACCTAGAGGAGCCGACATCATCATAATATAAACAGAGCTATTATCTTCTACATTTGTCAACACCCTCTTGAAGGTAGTGGTGGTAGTATTAGTCTTGTTTAAAAAAAATAAGAAAAGAAGGATAATTAAGATCCAGCTAGAATATTCAAAAGCAAAATTTAAAGTCCCTATAATGATTTGAATTTGTTAGCGTGTATAGTTCATCGCATACGAGTAGTTAATGTAATCCTCTTGCTATATATTGTACACCGTGCCGGGGTTCATGGCTTATTTGGGATTTATTTGTCCCGCTCCAAAATCAAGGGTTGTCCCCGCAACTTCGGTGGTCATATAAATTATTTTACCATCCGTATTGTTTGTAACATCGGCAGTTGTCATTAATGCCGGTTAGATGGTAGCAGAACTTCAATCATGGTAGGTGGCTTTAAGCAATACAACTATCTAGCTACATGGTTAGCTAAATCCAACTAAAGAAATCACAAATAAGATAAAATCCAACTCTATTCCTATATGAAAAAAGTAAATAAAATATGAGATCCCTAATTTTCTTATAAGCTAAATTAATTCATTACACGTAATACCTAAAAATCTTTTTGCTTGATTCATTAGAACCTTTTCCATTAGTCATGGCTACCATGAGGAACACCTTTTATTATAATTTTTTACCCTTTAAAGCGAAGAAGACATAATGGATGTTCACAATGTATCGTACCAAGTAACTCATGCCCTAATCGAAATAACGAGTGGCATCCAACACCATGCAACGACCCTAACAATCCATGATAGATCAAGAAATCCATCACTAGCAATGAAGTTTTGACTATAAATCTTATACTTTCTCATGATGAAATATCATGTTTTTAGGTATTGGATCCTAGACATTGCCAATATAGAAAATCACTACTTTGAGGAATATTTTATCGAAACGAGAGGAGAGAGAAGGAGAGATGGAGGAGAAAAAATAAAATCTTTTATTTTTATTTTTTCCACATGGTAAAAAAATATAACGTGTCATATCACGTGAATTATTTTATCCTAGCTATCCATTTTGATAAAAAAAAAATTGATCAAAAATAGTTAGAGGGGCTACATCAAGAAAAATTAAATAGTACAAGGAGGGGTTGAATAAAAAAAACACGAGATGTCACATTAAGAAAATGTCAAAAGTGGAGGGACGTTTGATGCGACTAAACCTTACCAATTATGCAACTTTTGGAATCATACAACACTTTATTGTTGTTAATAATTTATTCAGCCCACCAATCCAATAGCTCATATGGCCATGCATAACTCCATCTTTTTGGCTTATTAGCCATATTTTTGGAGTCCTAACACAAATACCTCACATCATGTCACCGTTGACATCTCCAATCTTATTCACAACGAACTTTATACTCGATTCGGAGTAATTGTAAATTAGTAATAGTGAGTCTCTAACTATCCATCATATTGGTGCTGCTTGTATTCATACATTGTTTAAGATTTTAAATATGTTAGATATGCTACATGTTCCTCAAATTACAAAAGTTTTATTGTCCGTTAAATGCCTAGTTAAACATAATAAGTTATTCTAAAAATTTTACTCTTCATATTTATATTTAAAAAGCTTGGTTCAATAAAAAACACTTTCTTTTTGGATCAAGTAAGGATGATTTATATGTTGTGTTAGATTTACCGACATCCTTCACTCCATATGGCTTTTTAGTTTAAGTATCATCCAAAGTCTAGCATTCAAGGTTGAGTCATTTGTATAATCACATCATCCAACTTATTTTTAAAAATAATGCATTTATCAAGTACTCGGCAGTGTCTTTAATAATCCGTATGTTTTTTGTTCGTTAAAAAAACTTCATCAATTATTTTTAAATTCTACAAATCATGTTAATACTTATGTGTTATAATTAATTTTTAGTGATGTATGGAGATCGTCTTCTATCTTGTCTCCCGATGGATATAAATACTAGTTATTTTTATTTATCATTATTATAAATTTATATGGTTTTATTCTATTTTTGCAAAAAAAATCTAATGTTTTTGATATATTTATTCAATTTCAAAATATAGTGAAAAGGCGAGTTTACTTGCAAAACAAAAGATGTTAAAATAGATTAGGGAGGTGAATTTTGAACTCTATATAAATTTTTTCAAACTATTAAAAATTTTCATTGTATCATGTGCTCACATAATTATGAGAAAAATGGAATGATAGAATAACGACATTGCTATATTATTAAAACAAATTTAACACTCTTAGGGAAGGTAACTCGCTCCAAATAAGTTTGACATTTAACTTTTAACATAACAATATTTCTCATCAATAGAATGCCTACTTCGTTCTTAAGAACAAATATCCATATGAAGTTTTATTTCTCCTAAAAATGGTTTATACATTTAGAAAAAAAATTTAGTCATCATTGTTTTCTATAATTTTGTCCTTATGATAAATATAAAATTTCATTTCATTCGATTTCTTGTATTTTTTTTTGCTATAGTACAAATCACCTCAAGTATAGATGTTTTGATGTTCATTCCAATCGGATGTATATAGCTTAATATGTTAAATTCACTAAGTTTAAATTTTGATTCAAATCATCTATATGTTCCACTATATTTCCACATCATTCGGATAATACCTCGATACTATGAGGAAGTTTTCCTAAGCTAGCTCAATCTACTACTTGTTATAAAGGATCAATATATTTTCAAACATATAGACCTTGCTCTCGACCATATCTTCTACCAAACCAGACCACAACAATAGCTCTTATATTTGCATTCTTTCAAAACCACAACCAATCCAAATTCCCATGCTCTATTAGGCCCAAATTATCTTGTACTATATACTCCAACTCCATCGAGAATTTCTCCTCAAAAAATAATGCACACTACCAATAATCAATCATCACCTATTCTTATCCAAACACGTTCTATCAATTTAACACCGAGTCCTATGCCAAAATCCATTCGTCCAATAACTAATACCAAAATCTTAAGAATTTCGCTATCCCCAACTCATCGGACAATTGTCAAAAAAATTTTAAACTTTCTCCTGTCACCAACTCATACACAATAATATGTTTAGTTTGTATCTTATAATCCTACTCCATCGACAATCCTTCCTCAATTAAACTTATATTTTATCATTAATCAATCACAATCCTCTCCTACAAACATACAAACATGTTCTTCCAGCCAATATTCTATCATTAATCGATCATAAATATTCTATATATATTCGTGATAGTACTAATAACAAACATGGTCTCAATCTAGTTGTTGATCTCGGTAGCTTCAATTTTCAACCATTATAATAGATTCTTATCGCTTCTATTTGCACACATCACATAAAGCTCAAATCAATTAAACCTTTTGAGGTTAATATAGCCATGGTTTTTTCTTTCTTTCTTCGATCCTACTTCTTATTCTTAAGTAAAGAAATATCTTATTGAAAAATAGTACATGGTTTTTGGTTTTATATTACTTAGGTATGAATGTTATTGGATGCAAATATATATTTAGAACTAATCAAAACTCATACTAATAGCAATCTTGAAAGACATAAAGCAAGACTTATTTTAAAGGGTTTTCATCAACGAAAGAGTGTTGATTATACAAAGACCTTTAGTGTAGTGGTTAAACTTGTGACTATTAAATGTGTGTTATCCATTATTGTGTTATATTTTTAGACAATTCATCATCTTGATGTCCATAATGCATTTCTTAATAGTGTTTTGACTGAAATTGTATTCATGAAACAACCTTCAAGATTCATTGATAAACAATATCCAAATTACATGTGTAAATTAAAATGGTATCTCTATGGTTTAAAGCAATTTCCTAGAACGAGGTTCTCTTGCCTACATGATTTTCTTTTGGAGCTTAGGTTTGGTGCCTTCAAAATTGATTGTTTGTTTTTTTGTACAATAATTATGGTACTCGGGTAATCCTTTTAGTTTACATGGATGACATCATCATCATTGGTAGCTTGGACACATGCATCTTCTTCATCATTCAAGCTTTAGATAACAAATTTTATATTGAGGCCTTTGGAGCAAAAAAAAAAAAAAAAAATCTTAGTATTGAGGCTATTATAGTACTTGATGGTTTAGTACTATCCCAACACAAGTACATTAAAGATTTTTTTACGTAAAGCTAAAATGGAGATGCGTAAAGTAGTTTGTACATGCATGGTTATAACTTTTGAACTTTACAAATAATTAGGAACCTCTTTGGTTGATGCTACTTTACGGAGATAAATAATGGGTGCTCTTTAATATGTGATCTTGACTAGGCTCGATGTTGTGTTTGTTGTCAACAAGGTATGTCAATATATGTATAACCCCAAAAAAAGATCATTACAAGGATTCTATATTACTTAAAACATCTTATACATTATGGTTTATGTATCACCAAATATATATATAATTTTTTGTAAGGTTTTTCATATTCTAATTTGGTTGGTCGTTTAGATGATGGAAAGTCTACAAGCGGTTTTGTCATTTATTTGGATAATAACTTATTTTTTGAAAGTCATCAAAATAAAAGACAATCTTTCGAAGCTCTATAGAGGTAAAATATAAAACAACGAGCATAACTCACTTGACAAGAATAAGTTGTTTTTATCACCATATCGCCCATCTTTGATGTGATAATCTTGAAGCAACATACCTTGTTATCAATCCTTTATTTTATGAGACAACAAAGCATATAGAGATTGATGTCACTTTGTTCAGTATAAGGTTGCCAAAGGTTAAATTTAGGTTTGATTTATTTCAATTCATGATCGGATAATTGACATTTTAACTAAATTATTGTCTATAGAGAGGTTTCAA